GGCAATGCAACCTGTCATCCTTTTGGTATCGATGAAATGAGTGGTACTTGGTAGGAAGTCAACTGTAGGTGCCCTATGGATTGACTCACTCCTGCCATACAAGGAATTTCCGCCTTTACCTAATGGTTGTAAGTAGGAGATGAAGCATAACCTTGTGCACAACCTTGTGCTCATTTATGTATACATACAGTGCTCTTTACAATCCACAGATGGATGCAATTCTCTTCACACCATGCGGGTTGTTAGGTTTTTTTTACACCTCACCATGCTGGTCAATGTGAGTTGGTAAAGGCTGGTAGCGTAGACAAGACAGCACATAAATACGGTACAACAGATTTCTCTCCAGTGCCATCTATCGCCCATCGCAAAGCCTTCACTGTCGGCCAGTCAAGACCACTGCGATCACTGGCGAGATCACCAGAACTACCACAGCGATCACTCCCAGGATCATCGGAAACAAAAGCGCCAAAACCAGAATACCGGGACCACTACTCGAACCCACTATTGGGCCGACTGGGATTACCACCGAGACCGCAGAGATCACTAGGATCACTGCAGGGAACATCAGAACTACGACTAGAACCACTACTTGGATCACTGCGAGAATCACAGCGACCACCACTACCAAATGTATGTGTCCTAGTGTGGGGTTGTAATGACCATGCATTGTTATTATGGACACATGAGGCCCTTTGCAATTGGTTCTTCAAAGGGCAACACTTCCAGGTTATTCCTCATATACATGGCTGAGTGGAGATATTTGCACGGGTTATAGCAAGCCCTGCAGATTGATTCAGGGTGCGATTAATAGGAAGAGCGGATAATAGCAGACTGGCCAAACTGAGTTTACTTTTCAACCAGGAAAGTCCCACTGAGTCCTAAGACTTTCTCACAGGAGGGTACTGCATTGGGGTGTTTGGGCAGTTACATTAATGAGATGTAAGGAAAGTGGAATACCCAGAAAACACTCATCCATGCAGGGATACGATTTATAAAGTTCCACACAGATTCATAAAATGAATTTCTGAAGTGCCATCGCCAGGCCACCTCACAATCCAAGCCTATAACAACTGCTATTCCCAGACAGTCTCCCATAAACACACTATCCAAGCTTACCCCTGCTTAAACTAGGTGCACATTACGACCTATCCTCAAGATTACCCCCGACCTGACAAAACTGTGTCAGGAAATAGCTCCCATCCTGGATAGCAGACCCAACAGGCGAGCGATTGTGCCACGATTCCCCACGACTTTCTCTGAGACAGTTTTACATCGGGGTTGACTCAGAAAACATTGTCGCCGACAGAAAATCCAGTAATGCACGCTTAGTTTTTTTCTTCCAAGGTCATTCAGGATATGGTCAAAATTACCACCAAAATTACCACAATGGAAACACAAAGGTCAATATGCCGCGCATACAAAACAGTACGTAAACTGCAAAAAACACACGCGTGTGCATGCACTGTATCGCATGGCACACACACAGACCCTACACATGCTCCACCAAACGCGCAAATGCCCTATTCGCAAATCTTGCCACAAAGAGACCATCTCTTGCCATGCATCTCAGCACGTGTCGACAAAAGCCGCTGCACTGTGCAAAACCTGTCACCCCTCCAGAGAGCTTTATTTTGAGGAGCGGTGGGGGGGGGAGATGAACAGGTGGTATTCTGGAAGATGCGGCTAATGTTCTGAAACTCCAATCAGATGTAATCCTTGCCACATCACAAAACCTGTAACAGATCCCCGACAGTAAACAATGCACACATCATATAATGGCAGGCGTACGCCAGATGCTACTCTGCAGATGAACTTAAATTAATACAACACCAGGATTTGAGTGAATATACTTGAGGCTCAACAAGCAACATTCCAATTATACGAGCATTCGACTCAGCTGGTTGCTCACCAAGTTCTGGTGAACAACCAGCTAAGCTCATCATCCCTTTGGGGTTGATGAAATGAGCACCTCTTTCTGAGAAGTCAACAGTGCTTGTTCTGTGGTGAGATTGGTCTCTACCATGAGCAATGTGGAATTTTCACAACTGGCTCAGAAAATTATCAACACCCCAGATGCATTTGGAGTGTGAAGAAGCTGAGTCATTCGTTTGCAAAAAATGAACTATAAAACCAAAATAGGTGATATTTAAAAATGTCATGAAGCTGCATATAAACGACGGCACCAACACAACACGAATGCGGTGCCACTGTGTTTGTGGTAAACTCCTCCACACTCAAATAGCATAAGCCACTCAAGCAGGAAAGCATTTGCATTAATCAAATTGGATCAACTGTGCTCACTTCAACACACGCACACCACGTACACAAAGGCAGCCCCACGAGCACCAAGCTGGCACCACAAACAAACGTGGAGATCACTGGGGAGGAAAAGGGTTCTCGATGCAACACTATTCCCAACCAATGCCCCACAGGGAGGCGCCTTTGAGTGACATTTACTCGCACTTAATGCCCAGCAGATTTGCCAAAGTTATTGAACCATCTGCAGACAATGCCATGGGGAGCCAATGTGGTGAGGATGGATACAGATGGGTGGTGGGAGGTTTAATTCCAATGTTCCCAGGATTGTGGATGGCATATGCAAAATAAAGCGGAAGATATTTTTTTCAAAACATTGTGGTCTTTATGCATCAGTAAAACAGGGCTTGCAGCTGTTTTAACCGAATTGATTCAATACACACCCATTAGAATGAGTTCTCAGTTCCAAGTGTTATGGTTTGTAGAACAAGATATTTTACAGTGATCTAACAAGTCTGCACCGTTCCCTTAACTTTATCCGTGGCGCCAGCACCAAGTGATCCAATCTTGCCAACAATGTCATGGGATCCTGTAAGTCCATACTGATCACCGGGGCTGCACATTTATTTTGAAAGTCACGTAGATTAAGCTTATTATCTCGTTGCTGAGGTTGGATTTTAACCAGTGAAGTTTGTATCAAGCAGCCAGCTAGCTATGTCACTAATGCACCCAACGACCCACTTAGTAACCACAAACACCATCAGTGAAATCATAATTAGCGGGAATGAGAAATATTCCCAATGTATTATTCCAAAAAGGTCCACTGTGTGCGAGTGATTTAAAGAGCAAAAAAAAAGCACTCTCATTTGCTAAATAGAATATGATGGTCATTTTCATTGCCAAAGAGATATCCATGTGCTGGGCAGGGATGAATCAAAGCAGAAAACTACAGCAAAGGTTTTACGGTGTTCAGGATTATATTATTCCCAATATTATGAGTGGCAATTTCAATGCCATTCACTCAATCTGGCTACACTTGGGAACCTGGCTTAAATTCTGTAATAAAAGTATTGATCAATGCTCTCTAGTGTTGAGTAAAAAGGCCAAATGAAGTGACACCAGAAGTAGCCCTGTGGTGTAATTTTCTATGATCATTTTCTGGAACCACGTCACAGTCCGCCAACTCAGAATATGTATTCACATTGACACGCATTAATCCTACTTTTAATTTATCCATAAAGCATTCCTGACTTTAAATACCCTTTTTTAAGATCTTGCTTGGCCATTTTCTGCTTGGATATATTTGCAAATATAAGGAACCACGTGACCAGAGGTACGCACGCTTGAGGAAATAACACTTAAAATAACTGTACGAATAATTTGATAACCTATTTGCTGTATAGACATTTATTTGATAGATAATATGACATGATTCCAATTTAATTAATAACAAATAATAATTTACAGCACTTTGTCAACCGACTGCTGGGTCAAGGGTTCCCCATACATTTTGGTCATGTGAGTTGTTTGACCAGGACCAGGGCTGGCTCAAACATCACTTGCTACTGATGCTAGCAGTGACCAGGAGTAACACTCAGGTGGACAGGTTAATGGTCAAGTGAGCTAACGAATGTGTCACCCTTTCCCCGCTCCATGACACAACTATGATGTCATAAGGGATTTTGAAAAAAATGCCTTAATGGTTATTTAAATCCCAGTCGTAGCAACTCCATAAAGACATGACCATTATGAGCCTTAGGCACTAGGCCATGAATAACAAGGCAACACTGCGACTTTGATCCAACAATTTAAAAACAACAATACAATTAAATTTTGATTTAAAGCTTTCGTGACTGCAGTGATTCATATTCTTGGTTCTTTCGGTAAAGTCACGTTGAAGGGAAACAATAAAATAATAAAATATATATAAAACAATAAAATTCTCACGTTTCGACTGCAACACAAGCAGTCATCATCAGGTGTGAAAACCAACAGCAATAACCTGATGATGACTGCTTGTGTTGCAGTCGAAACGTCGTGAGAATTTTATTTTTTATATATATTTTATTATTTTATTGTTCCCCTTCAATGTGACTTTACCGAAAGAACCAAGAATAACAGTACAATTGTAGTGGCATAAATGATGTCACTATAGTGTAGCGACAGTACCGAGTGAGTGGTACCGTATGTGCGGAACCTCTCTCTAGCACCAGAGGGAGTACACCATGGAAGAGGTTGGGTGAGGACATAACAGTCTGGGTGAACCCGAGGGGGCACGTGACCGGATGAGGTCGTAACGAGGACCAGAGAGGATGTGAGAGGGACACGTTATGTGGGCCCTGAATCGTCAAGAAAGATCTGGAAAAGGGGCGTGGTCAAGGGCGGGGCCTGGCCACGCCACAGCGGATAAAAGCCGAGTCCCGGCGGTGATCGTGGTGGTTCATCTCTGGGAAAAAATCCTCCGTCCTCGTGGGTCCTCGGTCTCCGGTCTTCGCGCATGTGGACCAGGCAGCGTGTTGGTTGTCCTGGTCCGATTTAGTAGTTATCCCATCCAGTATGTATATAGTTACTCGTGGTCACCACCCTTAGTCGTTATCCAGTTAAGTAGAGAGTTACCTGTTGGAACTAGTGAATAAACGTGTTGCCTGCAAGATCAAGTGTGCGCCTCAACTGAACCCACTACACAATTACAAGACCATGCATCCCAATGGATATGCTGTGAGCAGGCAATGCAGAGAACTCACCAGGTAGAGCGTGAAGGGGAAGCAGAGCAGGAAGAGCCACACGTAGAGGTGGAAAGCATTTGAGAATTTGCTCTGATGCGGGTCAAAGCACCAGCCCCCAGTCAGGGATGCCCAGAGGCCCTGGCGGAGAAACTGCAGCGCCTGGGAGCCCATGTCTTGTTCTTCTCTTCTTCAATCTCCTCTCAAATCTGATAGGAATATGGACAGTGTCACCATCACTTTCACTGCACATTTACTTTCATAACTTTAGTAAAACTATCAACTATTTTTTTATTTTACCAGGTAAAAGTGACCTGACCACAATTGACAGCTCAACAAAGTGGCTTATCGTGTGGACATTTATAGCAGCCAAATACTCTAACTACGTGTTTCTAAATGGGAAGGGAAAAATCTGAAAACATAAAAATCCACACGACCACGGGGAGAACATGCAAACTCCAAATATAGAGGCGTCAGGGTCAGGATCGAACCCACGACCTCCTTTATACCAGGCGAGGAAGTTAACATCTCTCCACCATATACAAACACATTGGCCACAATTTGACTCTTCAGTTTGGTGGCCTAAAAAAAGGCTGCCTATATCATAAATGCAGTATGGTGATGTGACATGACATGCAAGACATTAAGGGAGGATCGATCTTATGGTTACAATCACACCTCTTTAGATGACCTAGCGTGTATATTATTACCCTGATACAAACCTTTGCTCATTTTATTATGCGACAATCCACCAAGATGGTGCAATAATACATTTTGTGGACTGTTGCTATCCTGAGATGATCGAGCCCATGGTGGTGTTGTTTAAGGATGGCTCTTGACCATCACAGCAGGCAACCGAGCAGCATTTGTTCAACATTCCACAATCAGTTCATGAGCCTCACGAAATAGAAGGCAATCCAGAGTTTCACAGTTTTAACAAATTTTGCTGGAATATACTGGTCCAGTGGTGCTTCGATGTTATTTTTTTAAGTTTGGGGTGGAAGTGTCTTGTTTACCAATTTTATATCACTTTTCTGATGTTGCGAGCCTCTATTAACTCTGCCATTTAAGATTTTGTTGTGTATTTCCCTATCTGTGCTTTAACTTAATCAGCGGTGTTTTCCTGCTTGCATCGATTAACGTGCTGTCATTTGAGGGTCATAAAAAGCTTCAGCACCTGTGCCACTGTCCTCTTTTTGCAATCACCTCTATATTTACAATCCACTGCCAGATGAGGACCCTTCCACACCATGCATGGCAAAAAGGAATGTGATCATACTTCACCACGCTGGTCAGTGCGGGCAGAATGAACGTCGAGGGGGGATTTGAATGACAATAGATTTCGCTACGTTGCCCTCTATTGTCCAAAACGCCTATTACGCCTGTATCTTGACCAGTAGCCACCAATCCAAACACTATCCAAGCAAGCTCAATCCTACTTAGCTTCCGAGATCTGACAAGATCGGACGCATTGCGGGTGATCTGGTCATAGGCAAGCACCTGTTAATGTGCTGTAATTTAAGGATGATGTCGAGTAGAACTACGATTCCAAAACTGTCTACTCTCTTAACCACTTCTCACTGTGGTGCAACGACCTATTATTGTACAGAACGCCAAGGCGACTTCTATGCCACTCCCTTATACCCCCAATTATTTTACAATCTGCGATCACCTATTACAGTACAGTGCTGTCCACTCTAGGTATTTTAATAATTGGTTTGACCCTTAATGGCAATAAAAAATGTGTTAAAATGTTAAAACACCAAACAGAAACCTTTTTTGCAAGGAATCAAGTCTGCATTAGCCACACGTGCTTGTGATGAACATGCTCTGATAATATATGCATTGTCTTTGAAACTGTTCGCCTTTTGGTATGATCTGGTCTGAGACTTGGCCCTAAAGAAGGCCGTCTATGGTGTAGGCCAATCGGTTTCAAAGACAATGCATCAAATATTATCAGAGCGTGTTTGTTTTCATGTTCACCACAAGCACCGTGTGTGGTTAACGCAGACTCGAATCATCGCAAAAGGGATCTATTTGGACACTGAACATCTTAATACCTGGTTGTTGTTTTTTTGCCAGCGAGGGTAAAACCAATTATCATATTTTGATGCTGGCAAGAAAGGTCCCATGGTCCAGGCATTTTGTTGCGAGGTCCCACTCGCCACATTCTTTCAACCTTCCACGGCTGCATGCAATCACTCCGGTATCGCCGTAATTCAAGACGCGGGTATTACGTTTCTCCGCATACACCCTCCGATGTACACGTATTTTGCGAGCACATACTAACGTACAGTGCCGTCGATAAGAGTTCGTCCGGTAGACCGCACGGCGATGTCAGTGTCTGGGCCGACTGGGGATTAATTTGTCTGCTGTGATGAAGACAGTGAGACGATGATAATCACGATGGTGACAGTGACTACGGTGGTGGTGGTAATGGTGACTATGGTCGTATCAACGACAATTCATAAAAGGCGGAGCGTAATGACGATAATGATGGTGATAAACTCACGATGACAATTATGACGATGGCACCGATAGCCATCATCACGATCGTGATGATGATGATGGTGGTGACGATGATGTTAACCGAGATGATAAAACCCACGACGCGAACGCACGAACCAAACCACGCGTCCGCCAAACCCCACCACGGAAGCTCAACGCATTGTTGTTGTTGTCGTTCTCAGTTTGAGGCGACCTTAGAAGATGTTCCCAAGTCCCCTGTCTGCGAGCGAGAGACACTCACCCAAGCGACCGCCGAGGAGTGGTGGGGGGAGGGAGGAGGTTTACACCAACACACCTCCTGGGCCCTGAAGAAACCCACTCTCACTTGGCTGCCAATGCGGCCGCTGCCTGGCGGGTGCGACTCTCAAGCAGGGCGCGAGACGACGAATAGGAGGAGGAGAAGAAGGAAAGAGGAGAAGGAGGAGGAAGCGGAGCCCCCGAGTTAGAGGCGGGCTCCCGTTTCTTTGGCTCCTCCGGCCGCTATCGCCGCCGCCGCCGCCGCCATGGAGCAGAGCGATCGCCTCCCGTTCGCTTGTGGTGCTGGCGACGTCACGACGGTGGCCGGAGGGGGACAGAGCGAGGGGACGGGGGCGGGGGGAAGACGAGACTATGACGTACAACCGGGTTATACAAACGCGAACGGCCATGATGGTTAGTTCAAAGGGCCCCGTGCAATTGTTTGTGCTGTGGAGCCGCGGTTGAACTTAATGTGCGTCACTCGAAAGGGACGATTCCCGAAACGTCAGCTATTGTTTATGAGTTCCTCCCCCCCGCCACGGTTTTCCTGTGCTATGGACGAATGTGTTGATTTTTTTTGTTATTTCATACCTTATTATTACCTTATTACAGACCAATTGAGACCTTATTGGTCACCCCGTGCCCTTATAAATCTAAAAGTTCATCCTACACAGTTCCATCACAAGAGAGAAACACAAACAAATCGACTAAAACAATGTTTTGCCCGTATTGAAGCGGCTGTACGCCGTATGGACTTGAAAACTCAATTTCCATGTATAAGAATACGGGTAACCCCTATGGGTTTACAGGTATTTTATTTGTGTTTGTGCCCCACTGCTAGCGCAGCATAACCACCACCAAACATTGTGTGTGTGTGTTGTTTAGTTCAACTTGCTCATCGTATATGGGGCCGTCCATAAATGACGTCACGCGATTTTGAACGATTTTTGACCTCCCCCTCGTCACACGGCGTCACAAAAAGTCAGACCCCCCCCCCTCAAATATGACGTCACAAAGCTCCCCCCCCCCCCCAAAATAAAAGATGCTTCAAATCGCTTTAAACTATTGTCACTGCAGTGCGTATTTAATGTGGCGCTGCACTCTGATGTTGTAGGAGAAAACATTTATTAAAAAGTCTATTTAATTAAGTAGAACGTGTTGTCTATATTTATTTAAAGTTGCGCATTTTGATGTGACGTCACATTTCTCGACCCCCCCCCCCCCCTCGTCACACATCGTCACAAATGTCTGACCCCCCCCCCCCCCCAGGTGCGTGACGTCATTTATGGACGGCCCCTATGAGCCAAGGCCTTTGTTGAACGCGCGGTCCCGTTGGGGGATCGCCTGACACCATGGGTTTTCATCCGAAGGGCCCCTAGCGGGGATGTCCAACGGTTTCCCGGTGCCAGGAGATTGGCCGACCCCCCCCCCCAGGCCAAATTACATTGCGGCCCCCCTAAAATTGGCTTAACATTGTATGGGCGCGCAGAAGCTCACCGGGCTAACCGCAATTAGACGTTCACAGCACGGGGGAGGGTCCGGGAGCAGGGGGGGGGTGGAATATTATGAAACCAAAGAGTGTGGATTCCTGCAGTCACGAAAGCTTCAAATCAAGATTGAACGGCCTCTACGGGGAGGGGGTTTCCACACAACAGTTAGATCTTTTAACACAACTGCGAGATCAAGAAGGCTCACTTGATCGTGCCTCTCACCTTTCTGAAGAGATGCCGCGACACCAATTTCCGACAGCCTAAAATCGGTATTAGCTAAAGGGTTGAATTTCTTATGAACTCTTATTGCAGCAGCTCTTTCTCCTACGTCAGAATTTCTCCTGCTGTGTTTGTTTCTCACCTGATGACGGTTGCTTGTGTTGCGATCGAAACGTCGTGATCTATTAATTTTCTACCCACGTGACTTTACCGAAAGAACCAAAGAGTATGGATTCCTGCAGTCACGAAAGCTTCAAATCAAGACCAAATAGACACTTAACACAAGGCATCATGTCTGCATTAACCACACATACTTGTGATGGAACATTCAAAGATATGCGTTGATAATTATCAAATGTATGGTATTATAATAGAGTACAGTCTATGCATTGTCCTTATAACCGATTGGCCCACAAATTATGTTATTAAAGCATATCTGTTCGCATGTTTTACCACAGGAATGTGTGGTTAATGCAGACTTGATGCCTTGCAATAGGCATCTCAGAATCAGAATATTTATCCTGTAGAAATCCGATGAGCTATGAAGCTCTTTTTTTTACAGATGTCCAGTCGGGCGGGTCAGAACGTTATTTATATTTCCATTATTTTTCTGCTATAAATGTTCATATCATAAGCCACTTTGTTGAGCTATAATTTGTGGCCAGGTTGCTTCTGAAAAAAATAAGTTTTTTTAATACCTCAGTGGGCTTTGTCTGGTAGGACGGGTATGGTTTAGTTTAATTCGCATGTTTTTGGGTCATGTGTTTGCCTTTCCTGTACGTTGCACTACTGTCGTGGGTTTTTTTTACTGTTTGTTGTTGTAACGATCTTACCCGCCCCTACTGGACATCTGTGAAAAAAGAGCTTTATAGCTCATCGGATTCCTCCAGAATAAATACAGATTCTGATAACAAAGTACGCATAGGAAAGGTAATGTGTTTAAACATCTTAACCACCTGCCGTATTATTGCCGGAAACAATAAATCGTGTTTATTTACTGATCCTATCGTAAATGATAATTACTCTAACACGAGAGATTTTAAACGGACCCCGGCGCGTGTCGTCCGATTATTTAAAAAAAAAACGTGCTGGCGTTTTAGCGCATCTTCCTATTCCGGCAGACGCTCCCGCTCCCCGCTTTTATTCGACCTTCTACCTCTTCCGGAAGACGACCTGCCGTCGTCGCCGCCTCCCTCCGTGGAATCTGTCGACCACGCGCATGCGCAGCGCGCGCCGCGTGTCAGCTGGTGGTGGTGGTCTGTGGTGGTGGTGTTGTTGGAGGTGGTTCGTAATGTCGAGCGCGGCGCTAGGTCGTGGAGTCGTGGCGCTGAGCCGGCTGCAGGTGAGGGATTGTCCGGTAGATGCTCCGTGACACGCGTCGGAGCCGGTCCACGTGCAAGCGATGCCTCAGAGGTCGTGACCCCGCACTGTACTGCCGCGTGTGTGTATACAGTACGTACACAGTACGTACTGTATACGTACACAGTACGTACTGTATACACACATGGGGGCGGGTGGCTCTGTCGATCCACAGCTGTGGATGAGGACCTCCTGACGCCGCGCGGGTCGTGGCAAGTGCCATAAACTTCTGTGAGGATAATTTGTCAGAAGGTTGCAGCTGAGCAAACTTTTAGTTGTACTATGCTCGCCGCCTTCCAAACAACGATGACGAACTTGGTGAAGTATGGTCACGTAACCCCCCACGGCCCGCAAGGCGTGGGAAGGCCCTCAAACAGTGGCTGGACCCCAAAACAAAAAACCGCCGTGCATGTGTTTATTGTGTATCGCATTGCTGTGCTGTGCGGGACATTGCCAATGCGATGTTCAGCTGACCCAATGTGCCCTGTTGGTGGTAGCCGTGGCTCGAGTTCACGGCGATGCAAATGCGCTGTTGATCCATAGTGTTTAACGGCGTCTCCATCCATCATCTCTCTGTCTCTCTGTGGTGCATAAAATGAGTAGTTCCGAACCTCTGACGCGCCTCGTCGATTAGACGCGCAAATTATGAACGCGTTATAAATATGTCTTAGGATTAGTGTCACTTGGTGAGAATCCAACAATGGTTTTCTTACGGAATGGTTGTCTTACGGGATGTGAAATTTCTGGATTAGGGCCATCAGAATAAATGTCTCACGCGTGCTTGAGTGGAGACCCTTTGACCTTTCAGCACGGCGTCATGCTGCGTCCAATTGTTCACTGTCTGCAAAGCTGATCGGCCGTGTGTGCGCGTGTGGCCTCCACGTGTGCAGCAGGTGGTGCGGACATGTGTGGCTCACACGGCGCTGTCTCCTGCACCTGCGTGAGTTTCCCCAGGGAACCTACCTGTGGCCTTTCCTACTTTACGGGGGGTGGGTAGGGGGGAGTGTTGTGCGTGCTCTCAACCACCCACTCATCCAAATAACCACTTGGGAGTGGGTGGGTGAGAGCCTGAGTAGGGAAGTAATTTGGTATCTGGGTGACTGATTGAATAGTTGAGAGACTAAAATGGTCGGTGGGTTGGTGGTGGTTGGGTAGATGGTTTGGTGACATGTTGAGTTGGTGAGTAAACTGAGCAATTGATTTTGAAGGTGGGAATTTGAGTTGGTGACCAAGTAGTTAGTAGGACTGTGGCTCAGTGGTTGATTGGGGAAGCAGTTACGGAGTGAGTTAATGCTTGGGTGGATGAGTGGGAGAATGGGTTAGTAAGTCGAAGAGGAAATTAGTAAGTGGATGCTATTCTAATTAAATGTATACATTGCTAAGTACACGTGTGAATGGATAGGTAGTTTTGTGAGTGATTTTAGTGATAAGGTGAGTCAGCTGGTAAACGATTGAATATTTTGAGTGTGTGGTTTAGTAAGTGATTGAGTGAATGTAGTAGTCATTGAGCAGTTAAGTGGTTGAGTGAATGAGAGTGAATGAATGGTTGTGTGGTTGAGCAATGGAGTGACTGAATGCATAGGTGAGCGGTTGACTGAGGGAGTGGTTCAGTGGATCGGTGATCGGTTGGGTATTTGAGTGAGCAAGTTCTTTGTTTTCTTGTCTCTAGCTCCCAGGTATCGGCACCGCTGGGGTTCTCGTTGGGAGCAGCCCGCACTCTGTCTAGTGCAACATCCCTGGTAAGCCATACCATACACATCCACATGCATTTCTCGTCACATATACACACACCTACCTACCAAAAAAATCCCCCGAATAGCAAATATGGCTGTTGGGGGCAAGTGCTGTTAACGAGCACCTATTAAGACCCGCACACCACACGGGGAGGTGGTGTGGCCAGCACCAGACCTAATTTATAATTACAGC